AGACATTTTGAATTTTATGTTGTTGAACTCTATGGATCACTTTGATCCTTTGAGGCTTCCTTTTAAACAATATTTGGGCAAATCCAGAGTAGCCTCTAGTCTTGGGTTAATTTAGTTTCACTGCTAAGATATGGTTTTTCTAAGGATTCTATCCATTGTCCTGGATATTGTGGGGTCTCTCCACTCTGGCTGATGGGAACACAAAGTAGTCTCAGCTCTGTGTGAGCTCTGGGAATTATTCAGCTACTACCTACCAGTGGTTATTTCTTCAACTTCAAGTACTTTCCTCTTAGTCATGCCCATATTCATACCCAGTAAAAGACTGAGGGGATCTCCTGCAGATTTCCAAAGTGCTTCCCCCACCATATCTCCCTCTTCTCCATATTCTGCCCCCACAAACTCTAGCCACCTTAAGATCCTGCAACTCCAATCTATTCTACTTACCTCAGGAAGACTTTAAGGTTCTGTTTAGTTTTCCCTGCATGTGCTGTGGCCTGGAAACTGACACCAGGTAGTATCTCTTAGAAACCAGAGTCCTGTGAAATGTGTTGTCCAATGCCTGAAAAGAGTTGTTTCATATGTTTTGTCTGGTTTTCAAGTTGTTTACAGGAGAAAGCAATTCCCATAATAGTGGATTCTTCATGGACAGAAGCAGAAGTTCTGCCAACTGCAACACAACTTGTTAAAAGACAGTAGTTGTATGACTAGTTTTTCAGTGGCCAGAAATAATGAGTAGAAAAATAGGGGAGATTTTGTGGAAAAGATATTGGGCTGTTGAGAACTGTGAATCTGTAAATGACCATCTTGCACTTGGGAACAGTGTAACTGATGCAGTGTCTATTTGTCTGATCCTAATCATTCGAAAGGATTCTGTAATCTCTATCAAATAAATTGCAAGCACTGCCATGCGTGGCCTTGGGTCTACTATTGTCTGTGACATAAGCAGTTTATCTCTAGAGACTTTGTGTGTGGGGACATTGGGCAAGGGTTGCTTTTGGGGGGTCCTGGCAGGCCTTTCTCTTTGTGCTTTAGATTCTGTGTCTATCTTGTGGTCAGATGTCTCACCATTACCCTCTTTGACTACTCCCCATCCATTTTTCCAATCACTCAACACTTTTTGAAACCATTTAACTCTTTTGCTCTCAATAACTGAGCCATAACTGTTTCACCAGCTTGTCGTGTGTGAATCTCTGTGAATGTGTGCCGACTTGGAAGTTGAATGGCTGCCCCATGTGGATGCTCTATATCATGGTGTATAAAGTTTCTACACTGGATATCCATGCACTAAAGGGGGCCTAGCATTCAAAGTTCCATGCCAGAGAGTTCAGCCTATCCAAGGGGACCTTTAGAATATACTCAGAAACTTATCCCCAGTCAGGGTTACATTCCCTAGGACTTTATTCAGATGACAACCCCATCATACTCACAGAATCTCTCAAAGATTATTTGGGTTTAAGACTGTCAGCTCTTCTGGAATCCGCAGTATGGAACAGAGTTTTTCAACCTTAGAACTATTGACATTTGGGACCAGATAATTCTTTGTTCTTTGGACATCCTGTGACTTGTAGAATGTTTAGCAGCATCCCTGGCCTTCACCTACTAGATGTGAATTGCACGCTTCTCCCAATTTTAACAACCACAAATGTCTCCAGACATTTCCAAATGTCCTCTGAAGGTACAAAATTGTGTAGTTAAGAACCACTGATATAGATACACTATGGTGTTCCATGCACTAGGGAACCAACGGAAGTGCAGCTCTTGGAACTAAAGCTGGAGAAACCCAACAGCCATTAGTGTCTTCTTGGAAGAGACCAGTCCTGAGTGTCCGCCACTTGTGGAGAGTATACTGGGCGGATATTGACCCAGTAAACTCCTAGATTCCTGCCTCTGCAGATTTCAAGGAGGGTTCTCCACTTCTTTGCTTTTTGGTTTCTTTATTTGAAAACGAGGAATGGTGTTGTCTATATCACACAACACAGCTGTAGTGAGAACAAAATGAGGTTTTATGTATATACATATACATATCGATACACATACATACATATTTCTTCTATATAATACAAGGATATATAAGCATGAAATTAATAATGGTTTAAATATAAGTGTACTTATTTACCAGTGTGATTACTATATAGGAAAAATACATCTTTTTCCAATCCTTCATGTAGTGTAGTCCTCCCTGTGGTTTGTGATATTTCTCTGTGCTAGAAGGCACAATAGAGAATGTAACTCTTTAATAAGGAAAAAAAGTCTTTTTAGCAATTAAAATCTCAACCAAATTAGAATGCAAATAGGTTTTCTTATTTGCTTCTTAATTTTGCATTTAGTAATATGACCAGACGATGCAAGAATTTAAATGTCTTGACAGGAGATAGCAGTTTTAGTTCTCTGAGGATTTTATTGTAATGAACCTGGTAAATAATTCAGGAACATATGAGAAGCCAATGAATGGGCAGCACCTGGTGCTATATTGTTTGTGTCTAAGCACACAAAATCCAAAGCTAGCATTCTACACCTGTCACTATTGTTTTGGCCTAAACATGGGCCCTATGTTCAGTGGCTATTGAAATAATAGTAATTGATATTTTTTGCCTTGTCCAATTTTCCTCCATAATCAAAGAAAACTGTGCTAAGCTGTTTCACAAGCACAAAGCAGAAGTGCCATCCTCTTCTAAATTCCCACTGGTAAAATTTCTAATCTATTTTCTCTATTAAGGCACTGATTACTTTAAAGAATTAGGGATATGAATATCTTTTCTACTGGTGCTAATTTGAGCCTTTTTGCTCTTCTACTTTTGTTCTACAAGGTTGAGGGGTTTTTTCAACCACAGTATTCATATTGCCAGCATCTTCTGAGTGAAATAATACCATCCTCTGGCCACTCACATTATGGGAATTCCCAGAGCTCCTCACTTTCTTTCCCCATTGCCTAAGTAGCCTATCTTCACTTCTGTTAGTCTAACAGTTTAAAAACAAACAAATAAAAACTCCTGCAAAGGGCTTGCGTACCCTTCTGTGACCCCAGCTGACTGGGCATAGAATGTTCCTCTACTCCCTGAGAGACCAGGAGCTGAAGTGACTGACCGAGCATGTATGGAGACAGCATGGGGCACCTGAGCCCAGCGTCACCCAGGACCACACAGAGCTTAAGCCATGAGCCACATGGAAGGCTCTTGGAAGGGCAGGGAGTTTCCCAGTAGGGGAAAAAAAGAAGATGTGCCTCACAAGTCTAAGCTACGGTTTTTACAGTGCTGGACCATAAAAAAGATTTGGAGAGAGACTACAGAGCTTTGTACCTAGAAATCTTTAAATGTGCTTTATCTTTGTTTTTAAAGTATTATTTATTATAATGGCTTAAAATATATTGTATTTAAACATATTATATTTAAAACCTTTGTAATATATAAACTAATGTATATAACTATATAATTAAAATATATAAAGTATGTTAAAATCTCTGTCATAAACCGTGTGTGTATTTGTTTAACAGGTTTAATTGCTTCCCTTTCTTCAGGGACCAGCATGAAAGTACTTGGAGCAGTGACTGCCACCTCGTGGTAAGTCAGAACCATCACTTTGTGTAACCTGGTGGTTACTAAGATGCCCACTCTTGACACCCGTGGTATGCGCTGGCCGCAGGGGGCCAGTTGAAGGATGCTGGAGGGTGTCTGATGAAGGAGCCTAGTGAAATAGCCCTTTGCCTCCACCTGAATGAGCTGTTCATTGCGGATTCTGAGCCAGGAGCCAGCTCCAAAATGGGGCCTCTGAAGAAAAGATCTGAGTTGCTCTTGTGTTTTAGTTAAAGATCTGCATCCCTACCAGTGGATAACCAAGACTGTGAATAAGCACACACCAAGAGGGGCATGCGGCGACATGGAGTCTGAAATAAACTGCTCTGAATTTTGTGACAGTTTTCCTAGCCAGGAGCTGGATCGGAGACCCCTTCATGATCTCTGCAGGACAACAATTGTAAGTGAGCAGCCACGGGGTGTCAGGGCTGTTCGGACATGCATGGTGGCAGTGGTGGAAAGAGGAAGGGGGGTAGGGAGAACTGCTCACGCACGGCATGTATTTCCCAGCTTTGGTGATGATGGGGCAGTTCCCGTCTGATCTACAGAAGATCATTACGAACAGCTTCTCTCTATTCTGTCCTCAGACATCTTCCCACCACAGCCGTTCATTATCTCCTGTCCTCTTGGGTGTTGTTTGGACTTCTCTCAGCTGTGGACTTCTGCTGATGCTTTTCTTTCTTGCCTTCACAATTCGCTGCAGGAAGAACAGGTAAGCAGCCCCATGCCCAGTTTCTCACCGCCCATAGCCGGAGTCATGAAACCCAGACCACTCGTATCATTTGGTGCTACCAGCTGCTAGCGGGTACAGCAAAGCTTGTCTCTCACTGTGGTGTTAAGCAACATGAGAAGTTCCCCCTGAAATGTAGTGGCCTTGCAGTAAACTTCCCTCTTGAGAAGGAGAAAGATCTAGCCCAGTGTTGTGCTAACTACTGCAAGGGTATCCAAAGAAGAGAGCTGCTCTATCATCACCGAAGCCTGGAAATATATGTCCTGCCTGTCCTTCTGAGAAGATGAGGTATTTGTATTAAAAATGAAGACCATGTAGAGAAAGATTCCAGAGAAACATAAAAGTTTGCAGACAGCAAAGTGGAACCAGTCAGGGTGTGTTAAGGTTTCTGCAAAAGCAGTGAATCCTACCACCTGGCCGTTTGCTAGACAATTCTGGAGGCTGGAAAATCACTGGCTGATCTGGGGAAGTTTTTATGGCCCCTTGGCTATCAAAACAAGCACAATGGTGACTTTTTTCCCAAAGGGAAATCTGTAGAATCTTGCCCCGGCTGCAATTTTATCCTTCTCTCAGGGCCCATCCTGTGTTTCTTACCCCAACACTCTGCCCTCATCCTGCCCAGGTCCTGGGCCACCCCTTGATTAGCCCTGCTCCAGCCCTCTCTCCCCAGCCCACCGCTGACTTCTGGATAGGACAGCGTCCTCAGACTGGCCAAACTCATCCAGCCCACTCCAGCCTTACACTGAGTGGTGACCAGGCATGTTGTGCTCCATTGCCTATGGATTTGGCACTCAGATGAGGATCAGTCAGTGGCATTTTGCAGTGCCATTTGCCATTTTAAGCATGGAGGACATGGAATTGTTCAGCAGCAGTGACTTGGTCACTAGGTCAGCCTCAGCATAATGGTGAAGTGTGGCACTCCGTCTGAAGTATACCCAGAGGCTGCCCCAACCACCTTTCATTGTGTTCCTCAAACACACTAAGCTTCCTCCCATCTCAAGGCCTTTGTGCTTACTGTGCCCGTACTGCTCCTCTTGCCTGACAGTCTTCCCCAGATCTTCCCATGAGTGGTTCCTGCTCATCTTATAGGTCTTGGCTCCAGCGTCATCTCTTCAGAGAAGCACCTCTCTACTCAGCGGTCATCTCCTCATTCATTTCGTATCCCATCGCCCTGTTTTAATTTCTTTATAGCATGTATAATCTGATATTACCATATTTATTGATTTACCTTTTGGTCATCTGTGTCCCCTACCAGAATGTAAAGTCTGTGAACACAGGGACCTTGTCTGTCCTATCATGCTTGCCACCGTCTCGAGTATTTAGCACAGACTCAAACATAATAGGTGCCCAGGAAATATGTGTTCAGTGATCCTAGGAGGAAGGAGATTTAAATCCCAACTGTGGCTGCTGCCAAGAAAATAACTAGGAAAATCACGCATTTCAAGGTCAGAGAACTAGGGAGTGCAGTCTTTTCAGCTGCAACACATTTCCTCCATGCAAATTAATACTCAGTTGGTGCTAGTTGGTATAAGAAAAGATGTCATTGTTTTATATGTAATTCTTCCTCAGCAGATCAGTAGTTTAAAGCATTCAGGGACAAGCTTTCTCAAGGTTAGAAAAGAAAGCCTTAAGCTAAGAATACTATGGCAGTTACTTCCCTTGGGGCAAGTGGTGACTGGTTTAATGGCTTCAAGAACTGGTGTCCTTCCTGCAACATGAAGCTGTAGAAATAGATGAAGAAGCAGAAAAGATATTTGCCTTATGTTCAAAAACTTCAATTGATTGTTGAAGAAAGCACAGATCCAGAACAGATTTTTGGTTTTGGTGACAGTATTACCCATTGGAGATGAATGCCCCTGAGGATCTATATCTTGAGATTTAAAACTGCAGAAGTCAATTGCCATCCTGGGTACAAACGATAGTGGACATTTACTGAGTGATAGTGTTTCAGTGGAAATAATTGTTATTTTATTAGCACTCTGTTCACAAAGTTAAATGTTTTGAGTGTTATGGCCCCATCCTATTTTTCCCTCAACCCATTATTTTTATATACAATTTTGCAGAATGCAAGGCTTATCAAGCATTTATATATTCTGTTAAGAGAGGAACACCTGTACACAGCATTATACTAGAAACATATATATTTCTTTTCACTCTATTAAAATTTTGCTGCCTGTTTTATTTGCAGTTGGAGCATAACTTGGCATAAAGAATAAAATACTAGGAGGCATCGTGGATAAAAACACATCTTACAAATAAGTAGCTTATAAGATCAAACAAGGAAAGATAAAATAACCCCCAGTTTTAAACGTGCTTTATTGAACAATAAAATTTGTTCAAAGATGCAGCATCACAATCAGATGCGTTATTTTGTTCCAGTTCTGGGATCTCTGAATTGGTGACTGTGTGTATAGGTATTCGCGCATATGTGCATGCAAGAGGAAGAAAAATATTTTAGCAAAATAAAAATAATACAATAATGTTTAAATTCAGTTGCAGATATTACATTTTTTATAAAAATAAAATTTGTTCAAAGATGCAGCATCACAATCAGATGCGTTATTTTGTTCCAGTTCTGGGATCTCTGAATTGGTGACTGTGTGTACAGGTATT